CCCCCCCCTCATCGCACGCTCCACGCAGATGCTGAGTCACTCCGTCCATCGGCGCAGGTGCGTCTTTAGCCAGACGCGGCGTTCGCAGGCGCGGGCTGGCAGGTCGCGGTGGGCTTCCGGCGCGCCCCGCAGGCGTTGGCGCTCACGTGGGACGCTGATGAACCGCGTCGCAAGCTGTTGTCCCAATCAGACGCCGGTGGTGGCTGGCTCCTGGTCGCCGCCCGTGCCATCGCGGCCCGCTGGGAAAGCACACGGGGTCGGCCTTTCCGCTTGACTAGCGCCGCACGGCCTGACCGGTCAGGCGGAGAGGAGGCCGGCAAATTATGATCGCATGGCTCGCGGCGAGCCGCCACGGGTGCATGCAAAGCGGGGAAGATCTGTTTTGATAGGTGAGGCGGAGTGCCTGGACACGCGTGCGTGTGTGGTCTGGGAGAGCGGAGGATAGTTCTGAACGGCGGAGGAGAAAGCGCTAGATGTAATCATGGGGTTTGAACAACCATTGACCTGGCATCGTGTTGAAAGCCAATTACGGAGATGGGCATAACTGGAGGGGTAGATGCTGTGCTATTTGCTGGGTGTAGTAAACAGAGCAATTAGAACATAATTTGGTGCGGCCTCACGCCATAACGTCAGGAGTCATCGTGATATTTATGTCCGATTCATGACAACGTATTTATCGAGTGTTTGCAGCTTGCATACCATAAATTCAAGAATATGCTTAACGTGATAGTATTGGAAGTCCATACTTAGATAAAGTTGGTCACAGTCAGTCAAAATTTGATCCACCGTGTTTCTCTGCACTTCTGCCTTTCCCAGGTCAGGCTAATTTTCCTTCCGCGACTCGTTGATTCCCCTCGGCGGGTTCTTGCGCAAGCCTCATCTGTCACCAACCGACCTCACGCAACACCGACCGCCGCCTGCATCGGCACACGCAGCGAACCACCGTTTCCACCCCACTACCGGAACGGCCCGTGCCGCGCTGGTCGCCGCCGCTGATGCTCGAGCCATTGCGAGATCCCGTGCCCGCTGCAAGATCCCGTGCCCGCTCGTCCCGCGCGGCTCACGTGCGCCACGTGTTCGTGACACGGGAGCGTGCGCCGCTCGCCGCGGGCGCGTCTCTCCGGAAACGGCGCGGCGGCAAGCGAGTCTAGCTCGCAGATTTGCCGCCACGGGTGCACCCGGGCGGCGGACAGGCGCGCGCGCACGCGCTGAGGGTGGGTCCGCGTACGCCAAGCGCAGAAAAGAGCCGCGGTGATGGGATGATCCGGCTGCTGGTTTGATGGCTTGTTCATGTAGACAGGAAGTCGTTAAGAATAATGGGACGTATTCAAGGATAGGACTTGTTTCGCGGGCGGGACCTTTTTGCCAGGTTTGATGAAATTCAGGACCCGTATCGAACAACGATTCTTAAACACGGCTGATACCTGATCGCATTTTTCTCATAACCAGTGACGCGTAATGTGACTGTGTGAGACATCAAAACGCAACGCTTCTTGCGTTGTACCTTAAAGCAACGTAATTCAAGACGGCCAGCCAATCCCCGACGTCAGAGGAGCCCGAAGGCCGGGCGGTTTCAGTAGCCGTCCATAACCCTGCGCCGCCGGGGTTGGCTCAGTCGGTCACTGGGCTGGCCGAAGCCAGCGTTTGGCTGCGATAGCGCCGATACGGCGCCCGGCGGCGGCCGTGACCGCCAGCCGTGACGACCAGCGAGCTCTGAGACCCCGCGGGCGCTGGTGCCGCTGCCTCGCCGGCCAGCCGTCCGCTACCGGCGGCCGCGGCTGTCGCTCGCCCCGCCGCTTCAGCGTGGTGGCCGCCCAAGTTGGGCCGTGGCCCTGTGACCCTTGACGGGTCGTCGCGGTGACGTACTGGTGCAGTGGGGCGCCGGCGTCGGCCAAATAGAGAGCTGGTAGCATTTTCAGCGTTGGGGTGGAACAAGAGCGACATCGCGGACGCCGCTGTCGGAGAAGATGCCACAGACGAGCCGCATGCGGCATGCTCGCCCATGATTTACAACGTCCCGCTGAGTCCCATGTTCGTCGTGTCCTGTAAAGCCCAGGTCACTATCTCGGGGTCAAGCCGTGTTGGAGACGCGCGGGTACCGTAGAACACCATTATCCTGGAGGCGATTCTGTGTGCCAGTCATGGCAGGTAACGAAGGATCCCGGCGGCTGCCCTGCGTCCGAGACGGGGCCATTGGCGTGCCGCTGCAGACCGCTTCTGGTCAATGCCAGCCGCGGTTGCGACAAGACCGAGACACGGCGGTACTGAAGGGTGGGGGTGGGTCCTGAGATAGAGTCGAGCGGCGCATGGAAGCTGAGGTGACGGTGTGTCAATTTTTTGGCGCAACAACGCTGCGTTTGTCAGAACGAGTGCTCCATTGAATCAAAACCCTACTCTCAAAATTTTGAAGTGAACTTTAGTAGCCTAAGGGGGTTATCTCTATGGCGACCAAATAACATGTACCGACCCATAATTACAAAATGAAATGCCGCCCCTGCCTAAACTGGCTTTGCGTGACCAGAGTTCGTGACAATGGCACGTTCTGGAGTTATTTACGATTGGAAATGGCGTTTGAACACCATTCACCATCGTTACTGCCGCAATTATGTCTTCTAGCTGTTAAGACACGAGCGAGTTGAAACCTAAGACCCACATTTAACATAACAATAGAAGATAAAGCTTGGGATGAAGGTCATGCTCTTTAAAGACGTGAAAAATATCTGAATGTAAGCGAAGAGCATGTGAATGGTTGATTGCGGGGACGTATGCATGCGCTAATTTGGCATCCTTGTTTAGATGGCATGCACATGTAGGTTCGATAAGCCCTCACGGATGGCTTAAATGCCGCCATTTAGCATAAATTTTATTCGAAACCACAGGCGATGCAGGCTGCCACCACGACGGGCGAGGGCCACCTGATCCTCCGTGAAGGGATGCACGAGATACGTGATAGCCTTACTGAGATGCCACAAGCCTACATGCCATCTCCACCCGGCGCGCGTCAATCCTCCCCGCCCGCTCCCTCCCTCTGCGGACCACAACACCTCAGGCCCGCTTCCACGGGCAGTAACCGTCACCCCAGCCCGCCGCACGGGAAGTAACCGTCACCACCAGCCCGCTCCACGGGCAGTAGCCGTCACCCCCAGCTCGCTCCACGGGCAGTAACCGTCACCCCCAGCCCGCTCCACCGGCGATCTCTCCCGTCTCCCGCGCCTCTCATCGGGGCCAGC